CCATGCAAGATAAAACTTAAACCACACCTGTAGACCATCAATTTATTTAACAGATCACTTAATCACTTGAGTCTTTGGCAAATGTTCTGTGGCTTGTCTTTGATGAAAATGTTATGTAGATAACAAGGGATTCCGGGTCTCCTAGGGATGAAAGTGGGCCCCCATCCTGGTGCTGTCCCACCTTAATCCTGTCCCCAGTGACTGCTATTCCCGAAGGAGGAGGGAATACCCTACGAATCTGCCAATCAAAACTTAGCTTGCCAACAGCAAAAGAATGCAGAGGGCTCTCTAGCCCCGCCCCCGGCCAGGCAGCATAAGTACAATAGAGTCTGGAAAGTGACCTAGAACAAACAGCTTTCAGAGAGGCTCATGGGAGACCCACATGCCTAGTAAGACTCAGGTCATATAACTCCCAATTGTCGTATCAAAGTGGTTCTGTGGTGATGTCTGAGTGACGAGGGAGGTCTCAATCCAGACACTATAAAACAAGACTGGGACCATAACCGAGCCCTCTCTTTTGCCCTCTTTTGCTAGGATGATGGGCCCACTTGTCATCTGTATCTGTAATCTATATGGAGAGTATGCTCTGTAATCCTATCTTTTTCTCCACAATAAACCTCATTTTCATGCTTGTCTTACTTTGGTGTGTTCTGGTTATTCTTCGGCCAGGAGCTCACCAAGAAACAACATTTCGGACCCTGAAGTCTGACAAACAGACTTCCTTATCCTAACTTACAACATTCCAAGCCTTTAGACAAACCTTCATTTCTTTAATCAATTATAATAAAAGAATCTTTAAACTCACCTATAACCTGTAAGCCCCTACTTCAAGATGTCCCACCTTTTCAGCGCAAACCAATGTATATGCTTTCTATGCATTGATTTATGACTGTACATGTAATTCTTGTCTCCCTAAAATGTGTAAAACCAAACTTTAACCCAATCACAGCGGGACCACTTGCTCAAGTCTCCTTCGGAGTGGCTCTCTGGGCCATGGTTGCACATATTTGGCTGAGAACAAACCTCTTTAAATTATTTTACAGAGTTTGGCTTCTTTTCCATTAACATTAGGCTGGGAATTTTGAAGATTATTTGTCAAGCCCTTTGCCAGACATGTATGGCTCTCACAAGTGAGTTTATTGGTCACCAGCCTTTCTCAATGGCCACCGAAGACCAGATTTCAAATAGGAAATGTACTAAACACAGTACTTAATTTTAAACCCAGAGTCCTTCCTGCCAGTGTAGGAACTTTTCTCCCCATCACCGCCCCCCTCCGCCAAAAAAAAAAACTTACTTCCGTCTTTCCTGCATGTTACCACTGACAGAGCAAATATGAGTCAGAAACCGGCTCCTCAGGGTTGTAACATTAGATGATACACCGCTTGGGTCATTACATGGTAAACCAACGCCTTTGTTTCATTGGGCTGGGCTCTCTCTAGAAGGTGTATTGCTACCTGCGCTGCTGAGAAAGCACTCACAGGTGTTGGCTGGAAAAGCACTCCTAGGGCTTGCCACTGGCTTGGGCTTCTAGGGACTTTTCTCTCAGCCAGGAAGGATTTTGATACTAACCAGAAATACCTCGGGAAGATTGGAAAAGCTGTAGAGTGAAGTAAGCCTGTGAAGAACCAGCATGGGAATCCTATACTCTGAGGTATGTTACCTTTCTGGAAGTAGGATTTCAAAGGTGTTAAATATTGCTCGTACTTTTCAAATGTAATTTTCTACCCTGTGAATATGTTTCTTTTTCTTCTGTTTAACTTTCTGGGTGAGCATTAAATCAGAAAAAAATAAAGTCCTGTGTGTTAGTCTTTTTGGTATTTTTAATATTTTCAGGAAAATTATTTTGCAGTTCTAAAATGTTAGCTCTAAGTCAAAATTGGTATGATACACATTTGCAGGGATAGTTTGGACCTTGCAAAATTGAGTTCAAGTTGTGCTTTTCTCATGCCAAGTACTCAGAGAAAAAGTTAAAAAAAAACAAACAAAACTCAACTTGATTTTCTAAACATTCAAAAGATTAACTGGTTCTTCTATGGAACCACATGAACAGAGTAATAACTTTCCACTTGGTACTTGAAAGGAAATTCACTTCTAGCAATTATTGCTAAAGACTATTACTGTATAGAAGAGGAATAAAAGCAATATAATTTTGATATTTTGAGTATTTTCTTTTCACATCTGAGGAATACAAAAGTACTTTTTCCTGTATTGAAAGTAACTTATTAGAATCAAATAGATTTTTAATAATGTTTCAAAGGAGTATTGGAGAGTAATGTTTAAACATGAGTATAAGAGGCGTACGGACGTGATTATTCATAATTTACACCCTCTCCTCTCTGACAGAATTAACTGGCTAATCTGCATTCCAGTGCAGATGCTCAAGGAAAGCTCCTTGGATGGTTTTGATCTTCTAGTTTTAAAGGCAGTTTATTTGCAGTTATTTCTAATGTCGTGTGTGTGTGTGTGTGTGTGTGTGTGTGTGTGTTTCTATAGCAAATGTACCACTCGATTGGTTTATAATTCTCAGTACACTCTGAGGTATATATCTGAGTGATTTTAGTTTTGTGAAGAGATATATGAAAATGACAAAACATGTAGTGTTCTAAAACGCCACTCTGGTAATTTCCAAACTTTAGATTGCCCAAGTGTCAGAGAGAGGAGCTTATTTGAAACACAGTTTCAAGGGCCCCCATCCTGGGGCGTCCGTTTCTTCTCGTAGTCTGTGGTAGGGTCCAGAAACATACTCTTGAAAGAGGAGCATCCCAGGTGACTCTGACTTGGTGATCAGTTTACCACCGTCCTGAGAGAAATACTACTCCGGCCTAGTTCTTTTCAAACTGTAATGTGCATACAGATCACCTGAAGGTCTTGTTCAAATGCACATTCTTATTCTGTTGATATTGGTGGGGCCTAAGATTATGCATTTTTGTTGCTTTTTCCAGTTGCATGTGAGAATTATATGTGAATGGGGAGGGGGAATGCCTAGTCTCAGCCTCTGGTATTCTGATGAGGAAAGTCTGGGGTGGGACCTTCCATCTGTAACTTTAAAGAGGTTGAGAAATTCTGGAGTAATCTCTCAAATATTTAAACATAACCTACTCACCAGTTATGTACCAGGTACGCTGTGCTTCCTAAGTGTAAAAACTGTGAGTCACTGCTTAAGGAGAGGAAAACAGCCTTCCCCCATCCCTGGTCCTATGCTTCCTCGAAGTGTCTGTTTTCTAATCAAGTTTTAATAAAGTTCGTCTTCCCACTTCGAGTGTGGGAAGCTCCTCTAGATTAAGCACATAAGCTTATCATCTTTCCTTAGAGTCCTGAATTGCTAATAGTTATGCAACATGTATTTTTAAGAAGAAGGAGAGAATGAGGGAGTAGCCCAGAGTTGGTCCTGAAATCTGTGCTAGAGGATAAACTCAGAGCTCAGTGAGAGGACCAATTTTGGAATAATTAACTCCGGCTATGTAAGTTGGACTTTTAAACAAGGCTGATTCATTTAAACCCTTCTCAAAGATACTTGTTCATAATATTTACAATAATAACAAGTATTTATTTAGGGCTTGTTATATACCAGGCCCTTATTTAACCACTTTACATATATTAACTTTTTAAATACAATAATCTTCTAAGAGTCATTATTTTTATCCTTACTTTAAAAATGATGAAACCGAGGCAAAGATAGTAACTCGCCCAGAGTTATGCAGCTGAAAAATACTTACTGACTAGAGACCACAGCCTGGGATATGAGACCTGTGTTTGCACATTCAGGGAAATTCTTCTTACATCACTGCTGAACTGCTAAATTGTTTCACTACTTGTTATTTCAACAGAGATGTCCTTCTCCCAAAAGGAGTTGATCTTTAACCACTCTGCTAATCTGCCAGTGCACTTTCTCACTAGAGTAGTGCCCTTTTCCCTTAATGAAAAGAATGGGTGGGTTCCAGAGACATACATTCTACCTTGCAGAGGAGAACTGTTGATATATTATAAAAATTGGAAAGAAGGAAGATGTTGAGAACTTAAAGAGCTCAGGAACTCGTGGTTAGGGACCCATAGAGTCTTTTGTAGATTCTTGACCCTGTCAGCTGTGGACACGGGCCTCCCAAGGAGTTTCTTGAAAATTCTGTCATAATGATGTAGCCCTTTAAACTCTGGGAATATCTAATTATAATGCTAGCTATGAGCAGAAGATGTGAGACACACACACACACACACACACACACACACACACACACCCCTATAATGCTAGCTATAAGCAGAGATGTGAAACACATACACGCGCACGCGCACACACACACACATTTACTATCCATTTTTTGGGAACGGATCTATTTTTCAGTGAAGCTGATGTTACTATAGAAAAAGGGAATATAGTTCGGAAAAGAGAAAAATTGTTTTGAAATATACAGTGTCCAGAGAGAGCAATTTAGATTGAACAGCGCTTATTGGGGAAGCTGGTTGAGTTGAGGAGAACTCAGGGGAGATAGGAATAGAGATCCAACTGAATGAAAGACCCTTGGACTGGAAGTCAAGCAAACATAATCAAGCTTAGTCTTGATTATGCCAGGAACTCCGTGGGATTTGGCAGGGGAAGTCATTTGACTTCTCTAGGTCACAGTTTTATATCTATAAAACAAGTGAGCTGAATGAGTTCTGGCTCAGCAATTAGCATTGTGTCATTCTGTGATACAGGAAAAAGGAAGGCAAAGGCAATAGAAAAAAAAAATTGCATCTTCCCAATCTTCACAGATCTCTCCATCTACCTTGTTTATATATTGAACCCCTAGCAAATGTTTGGCATTCTATAACATACGCAAGAAGAGCATGAGGTGTTTCCATCACTCCAATTGGTTTCCTAATTCTTTCCTTATATATTGTAAGTAATTTTACAAATTATAATGTTGTGCTAAGTCACAACATTTCAGAAAAAAATGGTGACTTTAATGTATGAAAAGAAACCAAGACTGACAATTTATATACATTTATTTATTCATTTACCCATTTATTTGTTTAACCAACAATATTTATTGAGCACATACTATATTCCAGGCATATACTAGTTCCTGGTATATACAGGTTGAGCACCCCTAATCTGAAAATTCAAACCAAAATGCTTCAAAACCCAAAATTTTTCAAGCCCCAATGTGGCACAAGTGGAAAATTCCACATTTGACCTCACGTGATGGGTCACAGTCAAAATGCAGGCACACAACAGGCAGTTTATTCAGTGTCCCTAAGGAAAAAAAAGATCCCCCTAGCCCCCTTCAGCTGCAATATATCTTTTATATACATGCGAAGATTCCCCCAAGCAAGCACACCCGTAAAGGGTAATAAAATGATACATGTGCAGGATAGAGGAGTTGACAGCAAGTTCCCCAGGATGCTCCACATGGAACTAATTTATGTGCATTACTCACTGTGTGTCTTTGCTTATTCTCTGCTCTGTGGTGTAAAGATATTGTTGAAAACGTCAAAAAGGCCTGCAGATACCTTTATGAGTAACAGTGATAAGAAAGAAAGGCAGCATTTGCATTTATCTATAGCACAGAAAGTCCAGCTTTTGGAGAAACTGGACAGTGGTGTAGGTATGAAGCATCTTACAGAAGGGTGTGGCATTGGAATGGCCACTGTATATGACCTGAAGAAACAGGATAAACTGCTAAAGACCTATGCTGAAAGTGATGAACAGAAGTTAATGAAAAATAGAAAAACACTGCATAAAAATGAAGATCTCAGTTGTGTACTGAAAGAGGGGATCTGTCCATGTCACAGAGAACATATGCCACTTAATGGTATGTTGATCATGAAACAAGCACAGATCTATCAGAATGAACTGAGAATTAAAGAGATCTATGAATATTCAACAGGCTGATTGCATATATTTAAGAAAAGACATGGCATTGAATTTTTTAAGATTCATGGTGATAAAGCATCTGCTATTCATGAAGCAGCAGAGAAATTCATTGACAAGTTTGTCAAGATGATTGCTGATAAAGATCAGATGCCGGACCAGGTCTATAATGCTGATGAACATCACTGTTTTGGTGTTATTGCCCTCAGAAAGACACTGACTACAGCTGATGAGACGGTTTCTTATGAATGAATGATGTCAAGGACAGAATAAATATGCTGGGATGTGCTATTGCAGCAGATACACAATAAGTGTAAACTTGCTATGACAGGCAAAAGCTTGCAACCTTGCTATTTTCTAAGCATGAATTTCTTACTGGTCCATTTTTATGCTAACAAAAAGGGATGGATCACTAGGGACATCTTTTTTGATTGTTTTCACAAACACATTGTACCAGAGGCTCATGCTTATTGCAGAGAAACTGGACTGTATGACAACTGCAAGATTTTGTTATTCTTTAACAAATGTTGTCCTCTAGCTGAAATTCTTATCAAAAATAATGTTTATGCCATGTACTTTTCCCCGAATGTGACTTCATTAATAAAGCCATGTGGCCAGGTTGTCCTTAGACCTATAATGAGTAAATATAAACACTTTCTTGAACAGCATGCTAGCAGCAGTGAACATAGGCATGGGTGTTCAGCATGAAGGATACTGCATATGCTATTACCAATGCTTGTAACACAATAACTAACGACACTGTTGTGCATGCCTGGCACGACTTCTGGCCTGCGACTATGTTC